TGACGGTTGCCCTGAGGGAAAAGCGCTTCACATGATGCCAAAAAGAGACGTGGTAAATGACAAGTACTGGTGACCGACACTAGTTTCTTGCTCGAGAGTGCTCTGAAAACTAACCCTCCTTAATAATCTATCACTTTAAGGCAGCTAAAATACAGGCTTATATGATCTCTTGGAAGTATCTTTCCTTAGAGATTATGTTTTCTTCTACCAGTTTCATGCCACAGTAACCCCCCACTGGCACCAGAAGTATTTTATCAAATTTACAAGCAATGTGAACAGGCACAGAGACACGACTTTTGCCCATGGTCTCAACTCTGTCTCTCTAGTCCGATGTAAGTAAATTAAAGGAAAAAAAGTAGTATTCCTTCTTGCCCTTGTCACAAGTGCAGTAAAAACCATTATTGCAAAGCTAACCCCAAATGCTCCCCCACACTTACTGATCATTGTTCTCTTCCAGATTCAAATCCGGATCCTTTTCAAAAGAGTTGGAAAACAAACGATGCCCATGGAGAATGGACGTGACTGCCCCACTATCACTCTCTGCATGCCCCGGTTTCGGTCAGCACAGAATTCTAACATTTATCTCAGTTATGACCAATATATGCATGCATTCAAGTTCAGAGAGATCTCATCAGCTACTTTATCACTATTTCTACAGAGTTAAAATATTTTCATTTCAAGAGCATCACAAACAGGACCTTGAATATTCTGGAGAAAGTGTATTTTAGGCACTAAGTAGAGCTTCAGTGAGATGTCACTTCTCAGAATCACTTTCAGACTGTGATCCTTTGACTCCTAGTTCTGTAAACACAAGTTTGGCATTGAAATTTGGTCATTATGAGAACAAGCTATCTGCATACTTAAAAATCAAGAAATAGTTTTTCAATAATTGTTACAATAATAAAAAATTCTCCTGTCCCATATTCATAAGCAAAAGAAAAAAAATGAAACTAATTTAAAAGTAGAGCTAGTAAGACTGGCTTGTTACCATCTTCCACTTACTAGCAGGGGGGATAAAACAAACTACGTCAGCCTTGTAGTGTATTTCTGCAGAGATGGTTTAAAACTTGCTTGACTCTGCAGCTGCACTGTGTACATTGTTCTACCCTCCTTATCTTAAAATGGCCTGAAGGCCCAATAACCAAAGAGGCTGGAAACAATGTCAGTGCAAGAACAACTTCACGAGGCCCATTTTCCTTAGATGTGAGTTTTTTCCACTGAGCAGCACCCAAACCGTTGGCAAAAAGAATCCCTTCATCAGTTCTGCGCCTCTTGAAAGTTTATCTTCTATTGATGGACATACAAGGAAAAGAAACAAGATTTCTTCAAAATAGCTTCATGGGTGGATTACAGCTGGATCGCTGACAGACCAGCAGCTTCACTACTTGATACACCACAGTGTCACACTGCCACGGAGAGGCACTCCGAGAGGCTGGAGAATTGGGCACAGGAACCTCCTGCAGCTCAGAAAGGGGAAGCACAAGGTCCTGCACCTGAGGAGGAAAAACCAGTATGTGCGAGGGGCCACCCAGCTGGGAAGCAGCTTGTTAGAAAACGACCTGAGGGTCCTGGTGGACACCAAGTTGAAGGTGAGCCAGCAACATGCCCTTGCTGCAAAGAAGACTGACAGCATCCCGGGCTGCATCAGGCAAAGCCCGGCCACCAGGTCGAGGGAGGGCAGGGCTGGCGAGGCTGTCTCCATTGCTGGGATCCCCAGCGCAAGAGACAGAAGGACATACCAGAGGGAGAGTCCAGGGCCACAAAGATGATGAAGGGACTGGACCATCTCTCCTGTGAGAAAAGGCTGAGAGTTGAGACCGCTCAGCCTGGAGAAGGGAAGGCTCAGGGGCAATTTCATCAACATACATTAATACCTGAAGGGAAGGTGCAAAGGAGATGGAACTAGGCTCTTCTTAGTGGTGCCCAGGGACACGACCAGAGGCAACAGGCACAAACTGGAGTTTCCACTCAGACATCAGGAAACACTTTTTCACTTTGAGGGTGACTGAGCACTGGCACAGGTTGCCCAGGAGGCTCTGGAGTCTCCATCCTTGGAGGTGTTCAAAAGTCACCTGGACAGGGTCCTGGGCAGCTGGCCCTAGGTGACCCTGCCCAAGCAGGGGATTGGGCCAGCTGACCTCCAGAGTCCCCTCCGACCTCAGCCAGTCTGTGATTCTACTTGAAAATTTACTGCAGAGGAGCCCTACTGCACTGGGGAAGATGGTTATAGTTTTATATGGCAGCGTTTTAAGCGATTCCTGTCAGGGAACAGGGACTAAATCAGCACGATACTGACTAATGCAAGCCAGCAAATCGTGCTGCTGATGCTAGACAAAGAGGGATTTTGTAGCTTTTAGGTGGTAATAGCAGAATCTTAAGTATGGAACTGCTGCATTCCATCTCTTAAATTCAGGCATGATAAATAAACCCTAGATATGGATTGCCTTGCTGTTACTTCATTTACACAAGATTTTATCCCTAAAGTCCAGGGAACTATCTGTGAGCAAGTGACTACCAGAGATGCATCAACACTATCGTCAGGTGGCCTCACATTGGCAGGGAGTGTAGTTTGTTTGTAAACAGAGCTGCATGATATTTACCATCTTGATTTACAAACGTAGTACATTGCACACATTTTAAGTTTTATTTTATCCAATTCATCTGTTCCCAAAAAACGGTAGCGGCTTTGTTTTGTTTCCTGAACTGTTATGCTCACAGCACAAGTAAGAAAAACTAGAAAAGCAATTTTTTTTACAGAAAATGGCACCCTTTTACTTGAAAAATTTGAAGTTGAAACGATGTTTCTAATGAAAAAGCTAGCTGGTGTGTATTCAAATTTTGGGAGAAAAATATCCCGAGGGCTAGTTTTTGTGCTAAGGAATATTTCATTAACAATCCTTACTTATCTGCTTAAATGATTTTTACAAATACTAAAAGCAAATTAAACTGCCTAATTGTTTTTGCAATGAAAACTAGCACAATAGTTCAATGCATACGGCTTGGAGACCAACAATGACATAACCCAGTAACATTTTAAACTTTAACAAAAATGAGCATGACTCTTTCCAACGTAGCTACTTCTTTTGATGTTAACATCGCAGTTAATTTTTAAGTACACCCTTAAAACAGGGACTTTGCATTGGAAGCGCTGACGCAGTCACAAAAGCAGTTACACTGCAATGAAAGAGCTGTAAAAAATTCTGCATTCCAGCTGACTTTAACATTCAGAGTGCAGACCTTCTATCGTATTAAAAATATGACAATTTTCCTTTGCTATAACAAAAGCCGAGAGAAACAAAACTGCGATATTACAAATCTCTGAACGTATATTGGACTCCTTGTAACACCCTTTTAACAAAAGAAGGTTCTGAATGCTGTAACACTGGTGACTGTAGAAGACTTCAGCGCTTCCAGAACCTATAATCAAAGAGCCTTCCGTGTCACAGCGAGCATTCCAAACGAGAGCCTCCTAATGAGGATGAAGTTTCAGGCAATGGCCTGAAACTGAAAGAGGGTAGATTTAAATTAGATATTAGGAAGAAATTCTCCACCATGAGGGTGCTGAGGCACTGGCACAGGTTGCCCGAGGACGGTGTGGATGCTCCGTCCCTGGAGGTGTTCAAGGCCAGGCTGGATGGGGCTCGGAGCAACCTGGGCTGGTGGGAGAGAGGTGTCCCTGCCCAGGGCAGTGGGGTTGGGACTAGACGACCTTCAAGGTCCCTTCCAACCTATAGTAAGTACCAGGCCAGGACCTTTTACTACATCAGAAACCTCACCTAGCGCTGCTGAAGGTCTTTTGGCTACAATTCAGACCCTTAAAAGACAAACACCAACCTTGCTGGCACTTCTAAATAAATGTCAGTAACAGAAGAAAAACGAAAGTGCTGAACTTACCATTAGATTCTTGCCACATAAAAATACACAAGTATAAAATGCTTCTACCATACAAATAATTAAAATAATTGCTGTATCTAATGAGCCAGGATCAGATGAAGATATTAATTGCCATGACTTGTTTAAAGCTTTGGTTGTTTGAAATAATAAATTGTACTGAAATGAAAGCAATGCTAGGACCAATACTGGAAAACATGTCGATGGGTCGTTACTCTATAGACAATCAAGAAGTAGTTAATTTTTCTTTTTAAGAAGTAGTAACTCCATAGTGTATCAGTCATTAACTGCAATTGTATATGACTGAACGTAAATCTTAACTTTTTGATCTGAGAGCACCGCAACACTGGGAGGGCTCAGTCAGGACAGGAGCGGGAGGGGGGAAGAAATAAAGTAAGAGAGCTTCGTAATAAAATCTCCTGCTGACAGCCAGAGGTTCTACACATTTTCGGTTTTAAATTGTACCTTTGGCTGGAATGATGGGGCTGTTCAGGAGTACAGAGAGGAGTCAGTTTGCAAATACAAAGAGCATCACACAGCCCTACTTGAAAATGACAGTTCTTCCAGTTAATGACTGATTTTCCTCACAATCAAAAGGCTTCCAGTTAGAGTAACGTTTGTCATGACTGTCTTGATCTGAATAGAAACTGTAAAGAACCTGAATATTTCATGATTACTGTGGCAAGAAACACGTTTTTTTTCTCCTGTAGCATGTAGTCACTATGACTGCATCACACTGTGAGTTACAACTGCACTAGTTTAACAGAGCAGAGTTTCATATAACATGGATGTCTGACATAAGAGTCCACGATAATATTCATGGATAACATAAGAGCAACTAACTTCTTGTAGAATAAATGATTGTCCTCTGTAGCATTCTACATTTTCACAGAAGTCATTAGCATTTTGATTAAGGACATACACAATATTTTTCCCTTTCCATACTCACAAGCAGGATGTTGATGACATTGTCGCTTTGACAAGAAGTGCTTTCAAAGTGCTAGCATTTATACCCTGGCATTTATTAGATATTAATTCCAAGGATATTTTTAAATATATACATACTGTTCTTTTTACTTTTAAAGTAATTTTATTACTAATCTCTGATATTATAAAACTCTATTTTTAACCACTGATAATTCCTAAATACAAAGCGTGTGAAAAGTATGTTCAGTAATCTATAGCCTTTTAAATGAAAGGCATCAAAATATTCCTTGTGGCAGAAAAGGTCCTATAGTGTGTCTTTTAATAGCTGGTTAAATTTTGTCAGCATCAGCAAACAGACAAGGAGAAATCCGACAGGAAACTGATAACAAGATTGAAATATTCGTACATACCAAAATGTTATTCATTTAACTTCATAATTGTGTATTTTTATGAAAATTACTTTGATCCATCAAATTGTGCTGTTCCCACTATGCAGACGTGCCCGTTATTTGACCATTATATTCTGCTGTTTCCATTTTGAGAATGTAGGGGATTATGCTGTCAATGGGAACATTTCCAATGAGACCAGTGAAAAACAGTTCCTCGGTAATGCTAGAGCTCATCAGCCTAAGTGCTGGAAGGCGAACTAGAATCCGGGCTAGCCTGAAAAAGAAGTTCAGGGAATTAAAAATGCATGTGCTACTAGTTTAAAATACTTTCTGGCTAAAAATCTGGATCTCCTTTTATTATTACCATAACTCGTGAATGGAAGTAAAGAGGCAATTAAAATTAATTGAGCTACCATAAAAAGAATCATTACTTTTGTAACCTGCAAGCAAAATGAAAAGCCACGACATTTCTTTGTGGTTTTCCAATGGAAAGGACATAATAATGCCCCCTGTAAATACAGCAGGTATATACAAACACACAACTCTTCTGGCTTGCTTTTGAAATTTCCAGCCCTGGAAGTCCTTCATAGTTGGGGACAACACTGAGCCTATAATATTCATATTGACTAGCGAAAATATTTGCACATTTTAAGAGTAAAATGCTTAATTAAAATTTAACTCACAAACAGCATAGTCCTCAGTTGCCTGGCAACTGAACAGCAAACCAGATAGCAAGAACGGGGCTGGACATGTATAAAAGGAAATGAGAGAAGCTGCTTCTGATGAGAAAAGCAATTTCGGGGGATGTGCTGATACTCACATATTGCCAAATGCCATGGGTTTTTTATGTACCAGGATGTTAACAGGTATCCAACATAATGAAATGATTGTATTGAATTTCTAAACTTTCAATACATCTGAAATTGAGGACAGCGATGAAACCATGTATGTTGTGTTTATATGGCAGAAGCACATAACAAATGCCAAAACAAATATATTTCCTGACCCAGAGCCACGTAAGAGCAAACCGCAGGCAGCATTGAACATATGCCTCTGGAAAATGCTGTGGATAAAACCTGTAATTTCCATTCTGCTAATATACCACATCTTGTACACTTCAGGGGAAAACTACTAAAAGATTAAGCTATGCTGCTGACTTTGTGAAAATTGTAACACTCGTGCTTCTATCTCAATTTGTGCCAGCATTCGGCTGCTCAGAAATCATCAGTCTTGCACTCTGTGAGTGAGCATGGGCACACAGACAGTATCAATTAAAATAAAGGACATTGTTGGAGAAATAGAACTCCCTGATTTTCTTCCTTGAGCCACTATTAAGAGAAGCAGGTATATGGAACAAATTCTGGATTTCTTTTTACAGCAGATATCCAGCTCTTCCACATCAAACCAGAATAACTGAACTGTACACAGAAGAACAACATGGAATTTGAGGATGTGTCGGAAGTAGAGAATTCCATCTTCACTGCATCGAACTACCTAACTGGAAATGCTGATGCCCTTTCTGTTGCCCCATGCTCTGCAAGAGCAATGCAGAAACCAGTTTCTGAAATGAGTGAAGCACTTTTACAGGCCCTTTAATATTTTTAATTTTTTATTTTTTAAAAAAATTTTTTAAAGTAACACTACCCTCAGACCTTGCTTAAATGTACAGGACTGCATGCTGCTTTGCAGGCAGGAGAAGAGAGTATGTTCTGAGATACACTGCTAGACAGAAGCTACAAGTTCCCTTGTAGTGCAGAACATCATTGTGTTGACGAAATTTAAAGTAGTTTTGATGGAAATGATTAGAAAAGAGGATACGTATTTCTAGTGAGTAAGAAGCAGGAACAGTTGAGAGGTGAAAAAAACAAGTTAGATACTTTAAAAGAGAAGTCCTTGGAAATTTAAAAAAAGAAAGAAAAAAATGAGCAGGAACAAACAGAAGCTTAAGAGCTGGTTACTGTTCCCCACATGTAATCCTTATTTTCCCAACATTTATAAAGTGACAGTTTCAATGCTTTTCTGAATAGGTAACTTGACAAACATTTAAAGGATGATAACCTCTTCTATCATCACAAACCCTCTTTAACAACTAACTTGAAAAGGGACACAGTCTAAATTAAAGTTTGAGGCAGTTATTCTTGAGACTTCTGATAAAATCTCTTTACTTTTCTGAACATGAAAAGACTCAAAAGAAACACCTCAAAAAATAGTCCTTGAGTTTACACGGAAGAAGCTAGACAGCTATTCTTGCTTCTACCTATCTTTAAACAAACCTGCTTGCTTTTATGAACAACGTTCAGGTTCTTTCTCACCGATAGCCAAAAGAGAACAGATGTCAAAATGGAAATTTTTACATCAGTGATGTTATTTTTGTACTTTTGCCAGCTACAGCCCACAACATTACTTTGGGTACTATAGACAATAAATACCTATAAGTATCTTCTGGATAGGTTTTTTGTACATAGTCCTGCAATTCCATCTGTGCCTTCTCCTGGAATTTTTCTATTTGAGTTGAACTGGTCAGACCAGGGTGATCTAAAGAAACAAAACATTTCTGTATGTCGATTTCACATAATGAAATATATGTAGTTATAAGACTCTCACATTTAATTTCATTTAAGTATTTCTCTTTTATTGTGATGTTTAACATGTTAGTTGTATAAAGGAAACCGCTCAGTTGAATGTTTGCTCCCTGGCTTCAGAATGACTTTGCTCGCTTTTCTCTCTATAGCTCTATGGATGCACAATAAGGGGGAAACAGACTAAGCCTGTAGATAAGTACAAGGCAATGATGCTCCTCGTTTATGTTTCTAACCTTGCTTTTTTAAAGGTGTTTGCCTCTGTTAGTTTGACTACCTATGCTGACCGAGCAGTATCTAGAGTTGTCTTCTTGACAGATCAGTTTCTTGACCGTCCTAATTCTGTCTCATGTATTAATTCCAGTTGGCTCAGCTCCTCATGGACAGTCACATGATCAGGTGAAAAAAGAAAAAAAAAAACAAAACAAACCCCTCATATCTGACTATGCCCAAATATCTTCAGTGTTGTGTTTAAAGTGTCCAGGAAATAGGATAGAGCTTAAGTTTGGAGAGGTTCTTGCTTCTCCAACTTGCATAAAAAACCCTAACCCTAATGGTACAATCTGAAAAAAAACTTTCAAAACAAATTTCAGGACACTAGTATCTTCTAACTAAAGTGAGTTTTAATACAAAGAGAAAAACGGTATCAATGTAAACAAAAAAAACCCACAAAAAATCTCCAATAACAAGATATTAATTTTCTTTGTGTTTTGTTAAATTCAAAGTGGTAAACACTTTCAAATTAAATAATTTGCATTTCTGAGCAAGAGTTTCCCGTTCACTCAGCCTGTCAGCAGTTTTAAATTAACTTTTCTGTGTCCTAAGAACATTTCTCCACCTTTGCTGAAGAGACTCACTTCCCATTTCCCTAATGTGCTTACCTTGTCATTCCAGAAAAATCTCAAGTGTCTTCTTCGAGTAAATCCTCGTATCTCATAAACACTGTTGATCACGCTTTAGCTGTCTGCTGACATTATTTTTGGTAACAAATGGAAGACAGCTTGTTTACATTTCGTTTTGGAGACTTTATGGAAGTTCTACATAAAATTTGGTGGCATTTCTGCTCAATGTCAGTGATTCCTCTTAGAAGCTATTAAAAATACTAAAATTGAAGCCAATTTCATTTTGTTACTCTGAGAATGTATTTCCTCTAATCCTCCCTGCTACCTACTTCACTAATATTGCTAGTAAATATCTCAGATAGCTTACTACTCATAGATTCTCAGCTGAAGGTCATTTAGAGTCTAGTCTTCTAAGGTGGGTGTACAGGAAATACCAGATATATTGGAACTGCAAATAACATGGATATTAGCTCCAAAGATGTTTTTAAAATACATACTGTTTGTGATACATCATTATGGCACAATCATTTTATCTGCAGCTTAACGGATCAGTCTCAAAACATTACTCTCATTAAAAAAATCACTACAACATTAACAAGAGCGACTTATTATTGGAAAAGATATGGTTAATTAATTCCTTACCAGGGCTAAAGAGGACTATCGCTTTAAGGTATGCATATTCATATCCATCAATATCAAGCTTGGCCATGCTGTTACAGAACTCCTGCAGTTTCCAGATGTGTTCCATGACTTGCTTTATTCTGTCTCCAGAAAGTTTATCTACAAAAAAATACGGCTTACTATTCCATGTGAGCTCAAGCACACCTGATATATTTACTGATATCCCTTTATAAAACAACTGAAGTGACACTTTAAAGTCTTTTGTGTCATTTACTATCTTAAAACCACTTCAGATATAAGAATGGCCTGAATGATTATGGAAGTGAAGATCTATAAATCCAAGTCAGGCAGAGGCCTCGCCAATAGAATGTTAAGTCTTTTGCATAATTTTGCCAGTACAGCATCATGTGCAACACCTACCTTATTCCAGTGATGTACTGTTCTGGGCGGAGACTCTCAAACTGCAGTAGTGAATTATTCTAGAAATGGCTAAAGTGGTTCTGGGAACGAACAGAAGGCCAAAACAAATGCTATCATGCAATTCTAATTTTAAGTTCAAACAGTATTGATTTAGTTTTTCCAGAAGAGAATGCAAAACCATTAATGACATTGCTACTTTTTCCTCTATCTGTACTGGTACAAGTGAATGTTTTGGTTACTGTGGTAAATAGTCTTTTTCACTTCTGATGAGGTAAATTCACTCAACATATGTACACAGAATGTTCCATAATTTGAAATATCACATTCCTTATGTTGGCTTCATGTTCTTTCTTAAAATGTTGATTTATATAAAAAAATTTATTATTTCTAGGTAAGTTACAATTGAGTGCTATTAGCTGTTCAGCTAGGGAGGGAGGTATTTCGATTTTGGTAAACCTACCTTCTCTCTGAGTGCATATCCAAAGACCAGCCAAAGAATGAAAACCTTAGAGATTACATCAAGACAAATCTTTGAATATGTAATTGTTATTATCAAACTTCAAGTCAATGCAGAAGGGGTAAAACTTTTCATTGAGAAACACATTAGAATCATTGTATTCCATTCATGGTCTCTAACAACGTCTGTACAGCTAACAGTGCACATGATTGCTTAGACCCATGTGCCCTAAAATGAATATCTGATGTAATTTATGATTATTAAGTATCTTCTCAAACTGCAATAAGCAAAAAGAATGGAAGAAACATGTTTTGCACAATGTCTTGAAATAAGAATGGAAACGTAATCTAGGTTTTTCAAATACATGAATTGCAATAGAGTTTTTAGTGACTCAAGATGGATTAAGATAGACATGATGTAATGTTTTTATTCCTACATTAAGTGGAAGATGATGGTGCAGAAACACCTAGGAAAAGTGAACTTGAGTTCCAGAGTTTTCAAACAGCCTCATCATTAATATGCTTCCTAGATAAAGTTCCGAAGTTACAGAATCATAGGATTGTTCAGGTTGGAAAAGACCTTTAAGATCATTGAGTCCAACTGCCAAATCCACCGCCAACCCATGTCCCTGAGCACCACATCTGCACGGCTTTTGAACACTGCCAAGGACAGGGGCTCCAGCACTGCCCTGGGCAGCCTGTACCAAGGCTTCGCAACCCTCTGGGTCAAGAAATTTTTCTTAACATCCAATCTCAACCTCTCCTGGAGAAACTTGGGACAATTTCCTCTTGTCTTATCGCTTGTTCCTTGGAAGAAGAGACTGACCCCACCTTGCTACGCTACACCCTCCTGACAGGGAGTTGTGCAGAGCGAGGTCGTCTCCCCTCATCCTCCTCTTCTCCAGCTGAACAGCCCCAGCTCCCTCAGCTGCTCCTTGTAAGACTTGCACTCGAGACCATTCACCAGCTTAGTTTATTTTGAATTTGAAAGTTAGAACACACAGTAAAATATGCTAACTATGCAGACCAGATAAATAAAACATCAAAGCATAATATAATAAATCATCCTCTTTTCTTGGTCAGTCTCAGGTAACATGGTATGGCTGGAAGTACAGGTTGTAGAATAATTTTTTTTTTTTCTTTTGGGACATGGGAACACAGAAGGAGATAGCTCAAGGCTTTAACAGCCCCACCAGTAACTCCACAAACTCACTGCCTGGGCTGTAGGTGGCACCAAGAGCTGTTTATTCTGACAGTGATATAATAAAAAGCCTAACTTTGTGCAGAACATACGATGTGCAAGCTTCCCTGCTGGCCTTTTAAACTCTCGCCTCTCTGTGTAGGAAAGGAGCATCAGGGTTTTTTTTATTTTGAGGGCTGTCCAGGCTCTCTTAAATTACAAAAAACCCCCACCCTCTATACATTATGAAAGCATACTACCAGTTTAAGAATCATTTACTTTACCATAATGAAGCCAAGTAGGTTAAAACAAAGGTACATTACTAGGACTGAAGGATATATTAAACATTTTTTCAGATTATCTACTTCTGTACATCTTGTAGTTCTAGAATGAAGTTTTACTCTTCTAAAGATCTTTTTCCAATATTTGCTGTGTGCACAGTAATGGAACCGCAAAAATCGTCCAAAAAAATTGGTACCAAATAGTATTTTGCCACTACTTCTAACTCACATTTAAATTTAAGATAGCATTCATGTAATATGCTGTGTTTGCAGAGCTTAAAGCTGCCAGTATTGCTTTTTTCCCTCCTATTAAAAACTGAACGTTATTTTCATGCTCATCAATCATATTGATTGGGATTGTCTTTAAAGAAAAGAATAAAAAAAGGCAACCATAACAGATTGTCACCCATTCTACATATAGTCATCAATGGGCCAACACTGAATTAAAAAAATAAAATTACATAAATTTAAGCATGTCAAAAAAATAGTCTGTTTAATGCTTCAAATATATTAATCATTCCTGTATCAGCAGTATCCAAAACCATCGTAGTTGAAAGAATATTCTTTTACACTGCAACAAGGAGAAGGAAAGCTGTGGAAGGAAAAAAATCTGGTGTGCTTCGGAAGAAGATGTCATTATTCTAAGAGGAAAAACAAATGCATGTGGATGGGAGGAAGGCTTTGTGAGCACAGCCAACTTTAGGATGTACTTGTCTTTATACTGCCATCCTCCAGCCATCTCTCCTATGGACACTTCTAGCCCACAGAGGTCAGTGAGGTGAGTGCAACAAACGCAGCACATCACCAGAAAAGGTACACGAAAGAAGGCTTCTCCTTCTCCTGCATCCTGGGGAACAATTCTGCCACTGATTAGGAGGCACCTCGTGAGAAACGTACAAATGTCCCTGTAGAGTTGCCAGGACTGAGCACACGCTCGTGTCACATGCAGAAAACCTACCTTCTTGGATGCTGTTCTGGAGATGGTTGACGATAGCTGCGAGGATGGTCGACAGACTCATGACCTGCGCACACTGTGCCAGGCCTAAGGTAAACAGCTCGTTCCAGCAGGCGCGCACAAGGCTTGTGTTACAGTCCTGCCTGTAAACAGCAGAAAACCAAACAACTGTGGGCAGTTTTCGTATCAAGTTGGTATTACCCTCTGTGTAATTATGTTTATTAAAACAGTAATAAGGATTAATGTATTCCAATCCGCTTTACTAAAAGGCATATATTATCAGATTACAAGTATTTCAAAAAGCCAAAAGAAGTGCTAGGCTGACTACAGGAAATCATTCCAGGTTATCTGTAAAACGGTGCTCACTGGTTCTTCACCGAAACATATTTCTACAAATTAAATGCTTGCTTTTGATTCAACTTCGGCTTCTGTGACCGCAGTAACATCAGATACTGTACTTATCCTCTCCTCTGCTATCTTCTATTTTTTTCTTCAAAAAGAATCACAGAATCATGGAATGGTTTGGGTTGGAAGGGACCCTAATGGTCATCTCATTCCAACCCCTGCCCTGGGCAGGGACACCTCCCATCAGACCAGGTTGTTCCAGGTTCCGTCCAGCCTGGCCTTGGGCACTGCCAGGGAGGGGCTGCCACAGCTCTTCTGGGCAACCTGTGCCAGAGCATCACCACCCTCACAGTGAAGAAGTTCTTCCTAATGTCTAATCTAAACCTACTCTCCTCCCGTTTGAAATAATTACTCCTTGTCCTATCACTGCACTCTCTGATAAAGTGTCCTTTTTATTCTTCCCTGTAGCCCCTTCAGGTACTGGGAGGTCCTCTAAAGGTCTCCCCAGGGCCTTCTCTTCTCCAGGCTGAACAACCCCAGCTGTCTCAGCCTGTCCTCATAGCAGAGCTGCTCCAGCCCCCTGATCATCTTTGGTCTCCTCTGGACCTGCTGCTGAAGCAGGTCCCTATCTTTCTTATGCTGGGGGCCCCAGAGCTGGACACAGAAATGCATGTGGGGTCTCAATATAGCATAGTCTTCCCACATTTTAAAGAATACATTAAAAATTAAACAATATAATCATTAAAAAATGTGAAATAGCTGAAAAGTGTTCAGATTGGTGCTTATACTCATTAGAAAGTAAACCATTCAAGTCAATATGTCCATTTACCCAAGAGCTTGAAATGCAGGTATGGACCTAGCCCAGTGCATAGAGAGGAAAAGTAGTCGTGATGCTGACTCACAGATGTAGTGCACATTAAGGTACTCCGGCATTGGACTGGGCATTGTCAGCTGCAAAAAATAAAAGTACAGTACATTATATACAGATCAGACAGTCAAAATTTGTACTATTGATGAAATAACCAGGAAAAACTTTCAAACTACTCTAGTAGTCTGCCATAAGCAACCGAGTGACAAGAAATTACCAAAGGAAGACTGTGCTAAATAGCTCATTACTACTGGCTAGGAATGCAAAATGGGAATAGGAGACAACAAGTTATATGGAAGAGAGCTCAAATGTTCCCTTTTAAAAATGTTCTAACATTCATTTAATAACAATTAAATCTATACATTTCATTGCTTTGTGGAGCCCTGGCTAGCATCACAGTGTTACAAAAGATCTTTTAAAAAAGAAGCAAAATAAAATTTGACTACATTAAGTATTACTTATTAGAGCAACGATCTTTGTATTTCCTGAAACAGTGCAACTGCATTACAGCAAGATGAACTCTGTTATTAACAGTTTCTTGTGCCTTGTTTATCAACAAGTGCTTGTTTGTATTCAGTTGAAGCTGAAGTATCTCTAAAATGCAAAACCCTTCTCAGTGGTCTAACCACAAGCATCCAAGAAGGTACTGTCACCTCTCTTTATATGAAGGAGCATTTTACATGAAAGTTTTACACTATCTAGAATTATAAATTAGTTAGGCAAGACATAATACTATACTGATGATATGGAAAGTGATTATCAACAGCACTGCAAAGTGAAACTAATTTTAAAGCATCTTTCTACCTCTGAGAAGGTCTTAGGAAGTAACACCTAAACTCTTTAGATACAGCATGCAAGACTGAAAATTGTACAAGAAGCTTTGTAACAACAGATGTTTTCCTAGCCTATATTGCCAAAATGAAATATAAGAATAAAGAAAACACAGTAAACTAATCTTAGGTTATGTCTTAAGTGGTAGTTTTCATTTAGTGAGACATTTAAAGAAGCATATACCTTAAATGTGACATGTGTATCTGTGAGTAGGGGTCCTTCCACTTCAATAATCGGTGTTGACTGATCTCTACTGATTACATGAATATTCCCTCCTCCAGTAGGATCCATCCCATCTGCCAAGTTATGAGCTGCTGTACCATCTGTGGTATTAAGTGCTTTAGCCAAAGTATCAAATGCCCTGAAAAAAAGAAATAAAACAATGTTTCCTTACATCTTAAACAAATTCAGAGCAGTGGTCAAATTAAATGCTATAAAACATTTCCACTTAGAGGTAACGTATAAAGGAACTGTTTATGCTAAGACACAAGATCAGACTTCATTACAACCTGGTCCCTCTGTACTGTTTCAATATTAATAAAAGGAACAGATCTGCCCATATATCACTGGTGAAAGACCACTACTATAAATCTGGCTTTAATAGTTTTATCACAGTACTTGTACTAGTAAAGGGGTCTCTTGCACGTACTATTCACTATCTCCTTGTTCTCACCTTGAAATGTTTAACAGATTATGTGAGGATTATAGAGTAGATGCACTCTGAAGAACACCCTGCAGTCCCGGTCCTTGATGTTGTTTCTTGGAACAGTATACAAAGACAAACTGCTAAATAAGATGCATATATAAATGCATACCGTGTAATCTCACTTGCAGATTGCTCTTCTTGTTGAACTTCAGAAGTATCTCCATTATTTAGTGACTCACTGAGATTAGCAAGAGATGTTACAACATTTGCTAAAGTTCCTAAAGCACCCTGGCTTGTTTCAGCCTAAAAAGGAAGAAACATATCAGTATACGAAAATTATAGGTGATGTATCATACATAAATCTTCCCCATTTTTAATCTTTGCATCCGTTTTCCTTTATGTACTTTTTCCTTCCTCCTGAACACCTACAGGAAGTACAACGGGTTAAATCCTATTGTAATCATCAATCCTAGCCTCAGCTGGCATACGGTGAGGGGAACTACCTACAGCTGCCCTTCCTGAAATATGCCTGCGAAAAGAAATCACGTTCCTGTTGATCAGCTCATTACCTTTACTCATACAGATCTTCAGACTTACCCCAACCCTACCTTCTCAAGAGCCAGAATTATTTGTGTCTATGTACACAGCTAAAATAATCTGAACAAATATATATATATGGTCAGTACTCCATTTGGATAATACCTTGGAGTCAGCAGCTAGGAGGACTGTACCATCATCCCTGATCAAAGGCTGCTGAATATTCACAAGCATTCCTGGATCAAGAAGGCCTGCTGATCTGTTGAAAAGCATAAGATATCTGACAGTCAAGAGTATTTTACATTAATCAGAAGAAGGTGTAACAATATGTCAGAATAAAAGGGACCTCCAAATTTAAAATTAGCAATTTAATGAAGCTCAGATTTTATTAACCAGGACTTTAGCCTAACAGTTTCCAAAAAGCAGTCTGAAGGACAGAAAGACTGGAATATGTTTTCTTTTCCTGCAAAAGCAATGCCAACTTCCCAAATAGATACTCTCTCATTTACTCTTTATGCTGGTTTATTTTGTCTTAAGGCAAGGTGCTGCCTTCCCATGGTCTCAGAAATCACTTCATAGCTCTAGAGTTACGCATTAGACTTTGGGGGAAGGCATAACTGTGAATTCCATGTTAGACAATGGACAGCACTGAAGACAAAAGTTATGTCCAGAAAATATATTTTATATTCCAAAATACAGCCATAAACAGTGATATAATCAAGGTGTGCGTAAAATCTCTGCTGCCTTTACTAGAGCAATGTAGACTGGTCTGGGTAATGGAAACAGATGATCTGTGGATTGGAGCTCTCTTCTGCAGAGGGGAAAAAAAAAGTCTAAGTGTGCCTGTGAAGGAATCATAGAATCATAGAATAACATGCACAAATCATCTTAAACAAGGCCCGGGAAACTGAGGTACTCACCGCGTCCCATCTTTATCTGCCACAAATGTTGGAGTTGCTATTAGGGGGCTTCGTAGATCTTTTCTGATATAGATTTTTTCAGTGGAAGCTGCACAGTTGGTTGGTTTTTCACGTTGCACATCAAAAGGCTTTCTTTCACTTTGAACCGCTACATAAAGACAGAAACATGCAGACTTGAAAGGAAGTAATTGAACTGAAAAATACAAAAAGAATGTAAAAGTCTCACAGCAAGATTTCAGTTTGCACAGTTATGATGGTCTATCAGCTCAGTGCAAAGCTGGAAATTAATATGAAGACTGAAGTAACACAGGCACCAATTTTACTATACCTGCTACTGTGTACCTTTTTAATTAAGAAAGTCATAGATTGGTCATTTGCTTTAAATTTTGCTGAACTGGAGTCAAAGCTTGCTATTCCATTGGCATTTAATAAAATGGAATATTCTGCAAAATGTTTTTTCAAATGGCTTATTTAATTGGGTTTTTTTACAGGTGAAGTTATACCTAAATGTTAGATGCAGTCATACTCTGGCATAGTAGATGCTCTGGCTGCCAAAATTTGGTTTCCTTCAAACAACATACACTAAAATGAAGAGAAAACACTAAAAAGCTGTAGTTCACACATTTGTTATTTGGTAGGCACAGAATCACGACAGGTATTTAACACTCACATTCCATTTTCATGCCCATCTCTAGACATTTCTTAAGCCTACAGAACTGGCAGCGATTCCGATGGTGTTTATTGATGATACAGTCCTGGTTGCTACGACAACTGTAGGTCAAATTCTTCCTCACGCTCCTTTTAAAGAAACCTTTGCATCCCTCACAACTGACAGCACCATAGTGACGACCTGGGAAACATATATGGCTATCAGATGGAGATTACATTTTAGCAGAGAAATACTTATCTAAACAAGTAAAACATTATAAAAATTGCTCTTGAAATTTATTTTGTATTCTTACCATCACTTTGGACCGCAAAAGCATTGTTGAAGTGTTACAGGACATTTCTTGTTTACCTATTGTCAGGGCTTTTTGGAGGGAGAGTGGAGGGAAGAGAGGAAGGCTAAGCCTATTTCTGAATGAGTGGTGTTCCCACTCCGGACAAGTACAGATGCAGTTCTACCTGCTGCTGTAGATTATAGGATACACTGAAAGAACAAATAAGCCAAGACTTTAAGTAATTTCAGAATATAAGTAATTTTACAATATGAATTGAAATGTAATCTTAAATTAAGATTTCAGTAATATAAATTCTGGTATTAATTACATAAACACTTAAAAAAGTAAAAGAAAGTGAGACAGAGAGACAGAAAAGTGTCTTCTCTGTGGCATGAAACCATGGCCCATTTCTTTGGCTAACAGAGAAATTTTACTCCTTGTTACTGTATGGACATGAAACACTGAGGATTCACTTGATCTCTACTTGTCTATGTCTGTGATAGTACAAGATCAGAATCTACTACTGTCAAGGGTCAGGGCTGAGCTGGGCACTAAATGAATGACAAGACACTCTCTAATAACCCCTCTCCAAAAGGGAAAGGGAAAGGTAATAAAACCCAGAAAAACTTACAGATTGGAAAAGAAAACTAAAATAGCTTTAATACAACAGTAATAGAAATAATGAGAAAATAATGGAATATATACAAATATATATGAAATGAACACGACAGCAATCCCCAGTGGTGCTGCAGGGCCAGCGGCACCAGGGCAGCCCCAGGAGCAGTGGCAGAGGGGAACCAGGCACGGGTTGGATTTGGGAGCCTGGGATCAGGATCAGAGGCAGGAGATCGGAGGGAGCCCTCCTTGGATGCAGGCCACTGAAGGAGATTCCTCAGCTTTATACTGAATATGACGTCTATGGAATGGAAGACTCTTGTTGGTGAGGTCTGGGTCACCTGTCCTGTCTGTTCCACCCCTGAGGCGTGATCTTTTCACTTCTTTGCATCCCCTTTCCTTCCCAGCACGCCCAATGCAGCACGCAAGATCCAGCAGTGACTGTGGTGACCACAGGAGCAAGTGTAAGCAAGAGCCTTTCTGCCCACCAGTCCTCAGCAGTAACTGCAAGCAGCGGGTGTTACCACTTTTAGCAGCAGGCACTGACTGCAAAAACACGCTGTTAACTGCAGAAACACGCTGT